CCCAATGGGGTGCCCAATGTACATTGAAAACTCTGGTGTTCTTCTCAATTGACCTGTCTGTACAGCCTACACAAGGGACCCATGTGGTGCCCAACTCACATTGAAAACCCTGGTGTTCTTCTCAATTGACATCACTGTGCAGCCTACACAAGTGATCAGCAGGGTGCCCAATGGTCAGTGAAAACCCTGATACTGCTTTCAATGGCCAGGTCTGTACAGCCTACACAAGTGCCCAGTGGGGTGCCCAATAGTCCTTAAAAACTCTAGTATTCTTCTCAATTGACAGGTCTGTACAGCCTACAGAAGTGACCAATGGGGTGCCCAATGCACATTGAAATCCTGGTGTTCTTCTCAATGGACAGTTTCCTACAGCCTACACAAGTGATCGATCGGGTGCCCAATGGTCATTAAAAATCCTGGTGTTCTTCTCAATTGACAGGTCTGTACAGCCTACACAAATGTTTAGTGGGTACCCAATGGTAATTAAAACCCCTAGTGTTCTTCTCAATTAACAGGTCTGTACAGCCTACACAAGTGCTCAATGTACATTGGACACCCTGGTGTTCTTCCAATTGATAGGTCTTAAAGGGTGTACTAATTTGAAAAGCACAATACGTACAAACAGATGACTACATTCTGCAGTAATGTTTGCTTCCAGGAGTGTTGCCTTCAACATGGCATGGATGCTGCAGATCACAAACATAGGATTTCCCAGTACACTTACCAGCCAGCCTGCAAAACAACCAAAATGACTCTGTCTAACCATTTACTTTAAAAACAGAGGGTTTTGTTTGCCCACATGTGCAAATATATGCATAAGCTGCAGTGCCCATGGCAAGGCTCTTCTTTATACTGCTGTCCTAACTCTATAATTTTCAGAGTCTCCTAAGTTGGAGCACATATAGCAGTGGATATATTAAAGTGGCTGTAAACCCTCACCCAGTGAAGTGACTGTCCTCAGATGATACACAGATGTGAAACAAATCCTCCTACATAAGTTTTACTTGTTTATCTGCAGTCTTCTCTTCTCTACATACATTCAAAAAGGATTAATTGTGATAAAATCCTTTTTGATCTATCAGTATCACAGAGGAGGGGGGTGGAGAGCTGCAGTTACAGAACTTGTACATTGTGCTGATTGGAGGAAAAGGACACTCCCCCCTTCACAAATGTCAGAGCTGTGTTGTGAGTACATAAGCTATGTTCTGAGCTCCCTCCCCTGTCACAACTTATCTCATATGTTCAGAAAACTTGTCAGAAGTGACACATGCTGATAACAGAAGGAAGCACCTGAGAGAAACAACACTCTGAGCTTTGGAGAGAGACAAGTAAACACTACAGATATTGTATATGTGCTTTGCTCAGACTTCATGACTGAAGTTTACAACCACTTTAAGGACATATGTGCCTGGAGGGAGCCCACCCCTCCTTAAAGGCACAGGGGTGCACGTGATGCCCAGCAAGAGTATAATGGCAGCAAAAGCATCCAGTGCATCCCCTGCAGAGCCCATCTTCCTTTGCATGACAGCGAAATGTTAAAAATCCCCTTCCGGTAAGTTTTAACCTTTAAACACTACATCAAGAAACCTTAAGGTCTTAATGAATGGAGTATACACAGATAATAAGTGAAAAGATCTTCGGTTTTAAATTATAGACCAGCAAAAAAGATTTAGATTTAAAAAAAATCTGATTAAGACTCGGTTAACCACTATAAAGCTACATTAACAGTAATAGATGTATGGGAGCTGCCATTAGTGGCCACCTTATGTTGGTTTCCTGGCTTTACTTGACTATGTGACCATATTCAGTCAATGATGTCACAGGCATCCCCACTCCTTTGTGTATGTGCAGCTGTTGAGCCTAGAATTCCATGGGAAAAAATTGTTTGGTCATCAGTGGGTGGAAGTAACAGCCTTTTTCCAGGTTCAGTCCCAACCTAGCCTGAGCTCATCCTTAGTGATGATCCACAAAGCTCCGGACTCTAGGTTTTCAAGGTTTAGATTCATGCTATCTTTCAATGTACCATGCTGGTACCCTTTTTGGTTCCCAGAAAGAAGAGCTGCCAAACCTTGCAGGCTTTGTGAATATCCAAAGGCCAAATAACTGGATGTAAATGATACAAAAGGAACAAAGTGCACTGGATAGTGCAGAACAAACTACCTTTAATAGTTGAAAAGTAAATATTGCCCTTACAACACACAAACTTGAATCATGATATCATAACCAATTCTTCTTCACATGGAGTATTGGATCATCTCAACAGAGCTCTGTCCACTCTAACTGGGTAGCCATCATGAGTAGAAGATGGAGGACCAGGTGGAAAAGTGACTGGAGAAGACACTGGGAAGGCATACGACAAAATGTCCCTCCTAACATGGATAATTTAGGGACTGACACTACAACACGTTAGTAAGAAGCCCCTCAACTTACAGTGGGGATCGAAAGTTTGGGCACCCCAGCTACAAATTTGTAATAATGTGCATAAAGAAGCCAAGGAAAGATGGAAAAATCTCCAAAAGGCATCAAATTACAGATTAGACATTCTTATAATGTCAACAAAAGTTAGATTTTATTTCCATCATTTACACTTTCAAAATAACAGAAAACAAAAAAAATGGTGTCTGCAAAAGTTTGGGCACCCTGCAGAGTTAATATCTTGTACTGCCCCCTTTGGCAAGTATCACAGCTTGTAAACGCTTTTTGTAGCCAGCCAAGAGTCTTTCAATTCTTGTTTGAGGTATCTTTGCCCATTCTTCCTTACAAAAGTCTTCCAGTTCTTTGAGATTTCTGGGCTGTCTGTCGCACACTGCTCTTTTAAGGTCTATCCATAGATTTTCAATTATGTTGAGGTCAGGAGATTGTGAAGGCCATGGCAAAACCTTCAATTTACGCCTCTTGATGTAATCTCCCGTGGATTTCGAGGTGTGTTTAGGATCATTATCCATTTGTAGAAGCCATCCCCTCTTTAACTTCAGCTTTTTCGCAGATGGCATCAAAGTTACCATCCAAAATTTGCTGAAATTTTATTGAATCCATTTTTCCTTCTACTCGTGAGATGTTCCCTGTGCCACTGGCTGCAAACACAACCCCAAAGCATGATTGATCAAACCCCATGCTTAACAGTTGGACAGAGGTTCTTTTCATTAAATTCTGTGCCCCTTCTTCTCCAAGCGTACCTTTGCTCATTCCGGCCAAAAAGTTCAATTTTAACCTCAGGGGTCCACAGAACTTGTTTCCAAATTGCATCAGGCTTGTCTATATGTTCATTTGCAAAGTTCAAACGATGATTTTTGTGGTGAGGACGTAGAAGAGGTTTTCTTCTGATGACTCTTCCATGAAGACCATATTTGTACAAGTATCTCTTTATAGTGGAATAGTGTACCACAACTCCAGTGTCTGCCAGATCTTTCTGGAGGGATCGTGCAGTCAAACGTGCGTTTTGAATTGTTTTTCACACAATCCTGCGAGCTGTTCTGTCTGATATTTTTCTTGGTCTTCCAGATGTTGCTTTAACTTCCACTGTTCCTGATGACTGCCATTTCTTAATTACATTCCGAACAGAGGATATTGACATCTGAAAACGCTTTGCTATCTTCTTATAGCCTTCTCCAGCTTTGTGAGCGTCAACTATTTTCAGTTTCAGTTTTCTAGACAACTGCTTAGAAGAACCCATGGTGCTGATTGTTGGGGCAAGGTCAGAGGAGTCTGGGTATTTAAAACCTTTGAGATTGACATCACCTGGTCTTCCCAGACGATGATTGAGAACAATCCATGACACTGGCAGGTCTCAGCTTTGCAAAGGGGGCAGTGCATGCTATAAATTCTGCAGGGTGCCCAAACTTTTTGCAGACGACATTTTTTTTGTTTCTGTTATTTTGAAAGTGTAAATGATGGAAATAAAATCTAACTTTTGTTGACATATTATAAGAATGTCTAATCTGTAATTTGATGCCTTTTGGAGATTTTTCCATCTTTCCTTGGCTTCTTTATGCACATTAATACAAATTTTTAGCTGGGGTGCCCAAACTTTCGATCCCCACTGTACATGATTCAAGGCCATACCCCTTCAACAGATAAAAAATGATAGATGGAGCTCCGTTGAGATGACCTAAAAAAAGGTCACCTAATCTTCATCAGGTATGTTTGGTTTCTTTTGTTAAACTAAGGTTTTAAAAGAAAAAAAATCTATTTAAGTATGTATTCTTAACTCAAAAAGTCCCCCTCTATTGCTCTCAACCTCTTCCAAATTTGCAAATTCCTTTTTTTTGTTTTTGCTGCTGTGATCCAGCTTCCTGTTAGAGGGAAGCTACCTTCATTCTCCATGGTCCTCCTGTATGTAGGAATATAGCCACCTTCTCTTGCTCAGTCTCTATGGGACTATGGACTATGGGATTTGTAGTAGTGTGCATAGAACAGTGTATATGACCACAACTAATGTAAACTGCTTGTTCCAAACAGACCTGAAAACACAAAAAAAAGGTTCCTTCCCTATCTCAGTCACTGAGATACTACTACCACTGCTCTCTGTTCAACATTTGCTCCACTGTGGTCTTCAGAACATAGAAGGTTTTTTCCAAGGAAATAGGCTTAACACTCAGGAGCACTTAGTAGCAGAGTTCAATTCACCCTTGAATACACACTTCACTTGTATATGCATACTGAGCTTCCTGAGCCACCACCTTCTACCCAAAGTTCAGATTCATCCTAAAGCGTGGCAATATTACAGTAGTGATAAACCTGCAGCTAAAGGCATTTCACTATTCTATAGCTTCCTGCAAGCCAAAACAACCTTTACAAACACAACCTCCATGCAGAGATGGGAGGTGGACCTTAAAACCCAATTCTACCCCCAGCAATGTCTCGCAGCTATTCGCTCATCCAAAATTTCTACCCACTGTGTGAACCACAGATAATTAGCTTATAAACTCCTCAGTTGATGGTACTATACCCCATATAAGATATCTAAATTCTCCACCGACATCTCTCCACTATGTTGGCATGATTGTGGACAAATAGGTAACCTGCTACCAGGGGCAGACTGACAACTCATGGGGCCCCCGGGCAATAGGGGATCATGGGGCCCCTGTGTCCTTGCCCAAACTCAAAAAAGCCTATGAAAAAGGTACCAGGGGCATCTCATGGGGGCCCCTACTGACCTTGGGCCATCGGGCAGTGCCCGAGTTTCCAAATGGTCAGTCCACCCCTGCCTGCTACTTGTAGCCATACCCTAACCTCACAAGTTTTTTGCGAAAAATTTTTTGTGTCTTGGTTGAAGTGACAGGAATTTTAGTTGCCCCTATTCTGGCCTTAGCAATTCTGAATTTAGGAATAGACAAATTTTCCCCTCTATATTGGATAGTGGTCTCACATATTTTGATTGCAGCATGGGTTGTTATCATCAGACAAATTCACCGCAGCTTGGCAGATATGGTTGGATTGGTATAGATCGCAAACTAGTACAGGTATAAGCTCTTAAATCTACATTGTACTAATAATAAATAATGGCTTCTGGATTATAAATGTATGTTATGTATAGAATACTGGAAGAGGTTCTCCTTTCATGTTTATCCTTGTTATTTCTGTATCTAGCCATTCATTGACTTTGTTTTTCTTTACTTGTAATGAAAATCTTTCAATAAAAAGTTATAGGTAAAAAAAAAGAAAAGGTTCAGGATCTCATGGAGGATGTTACAAGAAGGCAGAAAAATACTATAAGGAATTATTTAATGAAAAATAGAATACAGGACCATTAACATCTTCCCACACAGTCTCAGCTTCTCTTTAATAGAGCCTAAACACATGGGAGGCGGGAATGATTGGCTGGTCTTATGACTACTACTACACGACTTGACTACTGTAACTCCCTCCTCATTGGCTTACTTCACCACAGGCTATCCCCGCTTCAGTCTATCTTGAATGCTGTGGCCAGACTCATCCACCTTACTAACCACTCTGTATCTGCCAACCCCTCTGCCAATCCCTCCACTGGCTCCCGATTGCCCAACGGATAAAATTCAAAATGCTAACATTGACGTATAAAGCTGTTCATAATACTGCCCCAAACTACATCACCGATCTGGTATCCAAACACCACCCAAAACGTACTCTCCGCTCCTCACAAGACCTCCTACTCTCTAGTTCCCTGGTCTCCTCCTTCCATTCTCATCTCTAGGACTACTCCAGGGCTTCCCCCATCCTCTGGCACTCCCTACCCCAATCCATCAGACTATCACCTACTCTGCTCATCTTTAGGCGCACTCTGGAAACCTACCTCTACAGGGAAGCCTACCCCGCCCTCAGCTAATTACTGAACTCCTCCACTCTTCCTACCACTCCATCCCCCACAGCTGTTTCCTTCTGTACCACTATCCCCTCCCTCCTAGATTGTAAGCTCCAAGGAGCAGGGCCCTCGAACCCCTCGTGTATTGAATCGTATTGTTACTGTACTGTCTCCCATTATAATGTACAGCGCTCAGCAAACTGTTGGCGCTATATAAATTACTGTATAATAATAATAATAATGACTACTGTGATTGGCCATTGCAGTGGTCACATAACTGGGAACCAGTCCCACCAACTCCTGATCATTAGTACGGACCAAGAGCTGTCTTCAACACCTTGGTCACTGTGCTGGGAGCATGCAGTGAGCACGCTCTCAGCACAGAATGCTCTGCTGTCCATGGGCCCATATGTGCGGTATGGATTATTTTGGGGTTATAAGAATATCATTTAGTATTATTTTAAGTTTAGACTCATGGCTGGTTAAAGGATGAAGACGATAGTAGCCATAAAGATTTAGCTAGCAGGATAACCATAATGAGGAAGATAATTAGATCCAAGCAATAGATAGATAATAAAGGGACACAATTAGGAAATTAGCATTTTTTTAGTTTTGGCCACACAGTATTTCAAAGCTACAAATGATCTAGGTAATGACACAAAATGCTGTTTTCATTCCTTGCAGATGCTGAGAGTACATTTTGCATTGTAAATGATTAATGGAGAAACAAAATCTATGCATGTGTGTAAGTCAAGTAAAGGGCTACTTATCCCACTCAGTCATCTTAAAGTCTTCAGTCATCACAGTGCAATCTTTTACAGAAATGTATTGTTGGGGCCTGCGAATCTTTGAATACAGAACAGCCAAAATGAAGATGCTATCACATGTGTATAAATATTAGCATTTATCAGAATCTTGTCTTGTTCCTTCCAGCGCTCTCTTTCATAAATCTTAGCACTTCAGCAATAAGATCATTGTCAGATTTTTATTGGATTGTAATGTATTTCAGGAACTCTATATGCAATGGATTTTTTTATAATACACTATATCAAAAGGTGTGAGTAAATTACAGAATAAGCGGCTATACATATATTTTACTAGAACCATGAAATATAGATACCAGTAGTCTGCACTCCCTTCAAAAAAGTGAAAATTAAATTGCATCATTTCAATACAGTTAAAGAACCCATGGAAGAATTTTTTTAGCTCCCAGCACATTTACCAGCACCTTGTAGAAAGGTTCTGATCGCTACTTGCGGCCAGGAGATTTCCGATCATGAGACCTCTGTGACTGCCAATCACAGCAGTCACATGACCCTAAACCTTGTCCCGCCTCCTGGCATCACAAACCCCTTAAAGGACTGGGAGGCACTGGCACCAAGGGGTTAAAGTACCTTTTTTTTGTAGATTATAGTGTGGTGAATCACATACACTGGCTGCTGTCTCTTGAAGGGAGATATATATCTGCCCCTGAGGTCCTAGGTACAGCCATAAGTGACTGCCATTATGAGCCATATTTATTTTGGATTGTTGGAATTTGCATTTGGGATTACGTGGAGTTTTGCATGAATTGGGCATAAAATGTGCTCTGAACGTCATCTAAGTCACAACAATAGAAGAACACAGTCTGCTGAACATAATACTACACAAACATTAGATGTTGCCATGGTTTAATTGCTGCCAAAGGAGGGTCAACCAGTTATTAAGTCCAAAGGTTCACATACTTTTTCCTCCCTGCACTGTGAATGTTTACATGTTATGTGCAATTAAACCATGGCAACCTTCTAATGTTTGTGAAGTATTATGTTCAGCAGACTGTGTTCTTCTATTGTTGTGACATAGATGAAGTTCAGAGCACATTTTATGCCCAATTCATGCAAAACTCCACGTAATCCCAAGGGGTTCACATACTTTTTCTTGCAACTGTATGTGGATTTTATAAATCGTAGTCTCTATAATTTCCATGCATTTCTATCTTTAGTACCTGGTTATTCGTGCAAGGCACATTTCTTCTTTGGTCTAAACCAGGGGTCAAACTTTTTAAAACAGGGGCCAGTCCACTGTCCCTCAGACCGTTGGAGGGCCAGACTATAGCTTAAAAAAAAAAACTATGAACAAATGCGGACACAGTACAGGAGATGACCAGAGACTGCGGACATACAACGGTGGCGGGAATACTGGGCTGGCCGCTCCATAAGACGCACAGACATTTCCCCCCAAGTGTGTCTTATGGAGCGAAATATATGGTAAATACAGGACACCTTGTTGGGTCAGATCTGTGTACAATGTAAAGAGAGAGAGAGGGGGGGGGGTAAGGAGGTGAGAGAGAGAGGAGGGGAAAGAGAGAGAGAGGAGTGGGGGATAGAGAGAGAGGAGGGGGGGGAGAGAGGAGGGGGGAGGAGGGGAGAGAGAGGGGTGAGGGGGAGAGGAGGGGGGAGGGGAGAGAGAGAGGAGGGGGAGAGAGAGGAGGGGGTGAGAGGAGGGGGAGAGAGAGAAGGGGGGGAGGGGGAGGTGGAGAGAGAGAGAGGAGGAGGGGGGGGGGAGAGGAGGGGGGGAGAGAGAGAGGAGGGGAGAGAGAGAGAGAGGAGGGGGGTGAGGGGGAGAGAGAGAGAGGAAGGAGGGAGATAGAGGAGGGGAGAGAGGGAAAGGGAGAGAGGAGAGGGGGGGAAAGAGAGAGGGAGGAGATCGATCATCTATTGCACTTATCTAGAGTCCGTGGCCGTGATACCCGACATGCAGCAATGGAGTCTCCTCTCTTGCTCCCCCCCTTCATGGTCAGCTCTAGGCTCCGCCCTCCGGCTGTGATGGTTGCATGCACTGATCAGAATAGATCGCCGGCTGGCTGCAGAGAGGCCAGGTGAGTGGTGTGGGTTCATAAGCTGAGCCCACCTTCCCCTGTTCTAGAATTGCTGATCCCGCCCTCCCGTCGGTGTCCTACCGAGCTCTCCCGACCGCGGCAGATACGCCCCTGCCCGGCGGGCCGGATAAATGTCCTTTGCGGGCAGCATGTGGCCCGCGGGCCGTAGTTTGAGGACCCCTGGTCTAAACTGACCACACAAAGCACAGCGGCAGGTCTGTGTTTGCATAGTCGGTTTCCATCATTTGCTTGGCCATTCAGAGGTACAGGACACTGTGCAGACACAGCATACCTAAAGTGAGTGGTTGTTCAGCCACCAATGCCCACCCGACCAATCACAGCCTGCCTCTGGCTCAGACCCCTCCCAATCACAGCCTACCTCCTGAACACACCCCCTGCTCAAGAGCAGCCTGCCTCTTGCCTCAGGCTAAACAGACTATGGAATACAGGCATGCTGTGTGTCTGCACAGTGTCCTGTAACCCCGCCCCCCCACTATCAGGAAGAATAGATGCATGGTCACATGACAGAACTTTATACCCTTTTTTTCACCCTAAACTTTTAAGTAAGAAAGATTATTTCTGAAAGTAAAACACTGTTCGCAATTACTTCAACCAGATTCTGTATTCTCATTGAAAAAATGCTTATACAGAATACTTAATATGTTTTATACTGTACAACTTTGCTTTGCAGTTTTATTAATGCCTTGTGCTTATTTTATTTAAATCTGAATTCCAAGTTTTCTTTATTTTATGCATAGTTACATTGGTCCAGCTTGGATCAATGTAAGTATGTGCTGTATGTGTCATATCTGGCCAGTCCCTGTGGGAGATGGAAATCGGTGTGTAGTAAGCACTGAGCCAAGCAACTGCCCTTCTGTTTAGTGAACACAGGAGGTTGTGCGCTTGACATGAGCATCGTTCAGAAAACACCATGGGGTTGATTTACTAGGCTGCTCATTTTGCAAGGGAAGTTGCACATTGTAAGGCTATTTGCTCCAGAGCTTAGTGACC